AGTTACTCTGATATATGTATTTAGTATCTGTGTTTCCGATCGCCCGAATGTTTGAGTGCTTGCACCCCCCCATTGCCCCCTTCACCCCTTGGGGGTTATGGCTATGCGTGATCCCAATCTGGGCGATTCATCAGACAATGTTGGGGGAAAACAAACCTGTTACCGGTAACGGCCTCATCAGAAATCCTCATTAGAATCCAATGCCAACTCGGGGGACACAGCAGAGGCGCATATAAAAATTAATCAGGCAAGCGGCGGGGGCAGGCGGGCAGAAAGACCCCACCACGGAGCGACAAATTAACCAAACGAGCCCGAAAACGGAGGCAGAACAAGCAATAAAATCAAACCCAGACACAGCTCCAAAGCTGCCACAACAATGCCAAAAGTTGCAAATGCAAGCAGCGGGACAGCCAGACGGCCAGACGGCAAGACGGGACAGACGGAGACGAAACAAATCTCCCCAGCGACAAAGCAAATGAGACCCACTGCGCTCCGAAGCCGAGGCCCAAGGAGTAGGAGGCCAATGGGACAGTTAACCAAACCGGCCACGCCGCTGCTCAAGTTAACCACCGGCCACCGCTGGAGCTGGGACTGGAGTCGGAGTCGGAGCTGAAGTTGGAGTCGCAGGCGAAGTTGAAGTTGAAGCGAGTGCTGTGCTGTGCTGTGCTGCGCTCTTGCAACATGTCAAAATAAATCAATTGATTGATCTTGTTTTATTTATGTCCAATTCAATTTCGATCAATGAGCAGCGCACACGAATGCAGCATGTTAAGCGGGGCGAACGAGATGCGAGATGCCCTCATCCGGAGGGAAGAAGACGTGGACGTGGACGTGGCCCCAACTGGCGCTTAGAGCCAAGGCCCCGGGACGCGTGCGTGTAATTATGTGGCAAAAAAAATAAGTAATTCGATGTGGTTCGGCCTTCGTAAGATACTGCGAATATCGATAAGGAAGATATCGAGAAGATGTTCCAAGTTGGGACAGATAGAATCAGATATTCAGAGAGAGGCAGCCCAATATTCGATTCATATTTATTCTATTTTTTAAACGAATCTTTCTAAGGACCCTTAACTCATTACCAAATCAGATCAAAGATCAAAATTTAACCATCATTACATATTTTCTAAGGCCTAATTTATTCTTAATTTAGCATAAAATGCAGTTGGAATACCAATTGGGGGATTCCTTGCTCGAATCTAGGAAGCCAGCTCGTGTGTCCAGTGCGCTTTGACCTCATTCGAAGTAGAAAATACTGTGTAATCCACAGTTACAGCTGGCCACTCGTATAACCATGCAAATTTCACCTGCGTCGCGGTCTTGGAAGATTTTCGGCCATCCGAGGCTATCTGCATATTTTGTCATATCCTACTGCACAAAAGCTATTAAATATGTGCATGACATGGCTATGGAAATGCAAACAATAGATGGATGGATGTGTGCAAGAGTTGTGCAGAGAGCTATGGACCTGGGCACTACCCATCAGACCATCAAGTGATCAAAGATCATATGATGGATACATTTGTGAGAACAGGAATACATTCTTACCATGCCGGGACTTAATTGTGATTAAAATCGATAGCTACTAGAATTCGAATCTCCAAATGGGCCGCCTCTTGAGGCAGGGTAGGGCCGGGTCGGGTAGGGTAGGCTTTTGGTCTCTAGAGCCTAGACCATTGAGTGCAGTCTTTGATGGTCGGGCTTAGTTCCATTCAGCATTCATAACAGCAGAAAACCAGACAGAAACAGAAACAGAAACAAAAAACAAAAACGGCAAAAGTGCAATTGAATTTTTTTGCATTTCATTCGAAAAAGATCAATAAAAATCAAATAATACCAGAAAACTTGGTCCGACCGTGGGGGGATCAATCACATTTATGCTAATTAAACTTACATAATATGGTGGGGGGTGGCAGGCACAATACCGGTGCCGCGGGAGTATGCCTTGACAAATTCAAATCGAATTTTGTTTTGACAAATTTCGTGTCTGCAGAAAATCGGAAAATGCTTAGATAAGACCCCGTCAGATGCAAGATATACCCGCACCAGATATATACGTATGTGTGTGTACTTGGGTGCAGATATAGACAACAGAATGAAATGTGGAAATTTTCTTATGCAGCTCAAATGTTGGGGCGGTGCGGGGGTCCGCTGCCGCTGCCGCTGACGTTGCCGATGCCGCTGCCGATTCCGATCCGACTCCATTGTAGCACAATGAACGGCTGTTTCGTGGTTCTTGCACTTTCACTATATTAAAATGCATACCACCTACATTTGTGTTGCTCGCTTTTCTCGCCAAAGCGAGGAGCAGTTCAGTGCCCACCCCACCGGTCGGCCAGATGTCCGATCTGTCCGATTTGTCCGATCTGTTGGATCTGTCGGGGCAGGAATCCGTTAATGCCGTGCATACTGCATAAAGCAGAAGGGAAATTGTTACGGGAAGACGATCAGCTCGGCGCTGCCCGCCACCGATGCCACCGTTGCCACCGATGCCGCCGTTGCCACCGATGCGGATGCTTGAGCCATTGTTCTACTGCTGAATTGCAAATCGAGCCCATAGTTCTCGTTCCCTCGCCCTCGCCCTCTGCCTCTGCCTCTGCCTGTGCCGCTCCCTCTGCCTTGGAAGCTGCAATTTGCCGTTTGTTGGGGCAGGCAGCAACAGCAACAGAAACAGCAACAGGCACAGCAACTGTTCTTATTGTGATATTTCTCTGGTTTCCAGTTCAATCAACTCGAATGGTCAACGACTCTCCGGCTGGACACACGTGGGTGTGGAGCGTGGAGACACTCGTTGGCGTGGCCTTGTCGCTCCTCTCCTCCAGGTTGAATGTACCGTTGTGTCTTTGAACTCGCTCGTCTTCTGCCAGGCCATCTTCTGCCTCTCCAGGGCTATGGCATAATGCCCATCGTCGTCCCCAGACACTCAGACGACGCCGATGAATGAGGCAACGAACCGCTGCTCTGGGCTCTGGGCTCTGGGCTCTGGCTCTCCCAACGAACGCCAGAACGCCAGAACGCAAGAACAAAAAAAAGAAGGAATAAAATAATAAATAAATACCAGTCGAACCCGAAATATACCTGACGCGATCTTCGCATGCAAATCTCTAAAGTTCTCTCGACTCGACTCGACTCTACTCGACTCGACTCCACTCGAGAGCAATTAACATTACAAATTTGTCCAGCATTGGGCAAAAGGAAGAGCTTCTTCTGGCCTGGCTCCCGCAATTAGCATCGCATCGCATCGGCCAGCTCTTTGGGGGGCTGATGCTGATATATGCATAAAGACGGAGACGTGACTTGAATGGGAGCGATCTGATGACAAAATCCTTGATCACAACGTTCATTGATCTCCCTGCTCCGATCATGCAGTTCTCGCGGTTTCCGAGATGCTGTTGCCAGGTCGGAAGAGAAGAGAGTACTACCACCAAAATGGATACTGGATGCAATGGAATAATGAATTTATGCATAACTTTTACTAATTCTACGGCATCCCTAGATCTGCACACACTTGCAGCTTAGGAAGTTTTTCTTACTTCTGAACTTTGGCTCTTGATAGCATCTTTCCCACCACAGTTGATCGGATGTGGCCAAGTGCCGGCTGATAAATAAATTCTGGCCTTAACTTGCCATATATTTTCATTATGTGCGACACAGAAAGTCGTGTTTTATTTCAACACAAGTGGATTTTAATAATAAAATGTGTCTAATTTGGTACCCACTCGAGCGAGCAGAAAGGAAAACCTGATTGCAGCACCTTTTTACTTTTATTCGCCTGCCCACCACTGCAGCACCGCACCACTGGCATCTGGGATGTGGATGTGGCTGTGGATGTGGCTGTGGTTCGAGTGGACTTTCCATGGAGCAGCCTTCTTCTCGGTGTCGGGATTGTACGTGGTACGTGCGAGGCGTCAATGCTTCATTTCCACTGTCATCTTAAGTTGATTGCAAGTTACGATCGTGTTGACACCCTACCCTACCTGTCTCTCCCTCTCTCTCCGACTCTCTTGGGCATTCTGCATTTTGCATTGGTAACGGTAATTGCCGTTGCGCATGCGTGTGCGCCGGGGTTGTGCCTCAGTTCGGGTCGGGGTTAATTCCCTGCTCCAGCCATGTGCGGGCGGCTTATTAATCAGAGCTCTCGGACGTTGCACAACTTCGCGAGCATGATTCATGCTTAATTGGCTAACAGACACAGCTCCAGCGATAGACCAGGCCACAGGCCACATCCAGCTGTACGCCGTGCAAATCTCACCCAAGTTGTCAATTTCACAGACATCACATTTCAATCAAACTTCGCCGTGCCATAAATAAACCGCCAAGTGGACAGATCCCAAAACCTGGTTCCACTCCAATCTTTTAAGTCTTTCGCTTAAATTACACATTGTATTTGTATTTGTATTTGTATTTGTGTCTGTGGATCGTGGCTTGTGGATTGGGGCTTGTGGTAGTTGCTGCGCACGCCCAACGTTCACATTTTTCCACATGAAATTATGAAGTTACCATGGCAATTAATACGCATGAGCCGGGCTCCAGCCGCACTTAACCAAACGGCGGCGGCGGGTGCTGTCGTCCGTCTCCGACTTGGTCTCCGACTCGGTCTCCGTCTCGCATGTCAATTTGATGGCAATTAAGTTTGCTCTAGCTCTGGCTTTGTTTTAATAATAAATTTAATGAGCTGCCAAAAATGGTTGCAAATTTACGTGGCAATTAGCGGGCTAAACGACGACAGCATTGATGGCGACACTTGGCCAAGAGATCGTGTGCTCCGCTGTGCCTGCCCAGGCGGACACCGGACAGTGTATTATTTTGCTAATGAGCGTTCCGATTTTTCCCCGAGGCTTGTCCGAGGCTGGTGGCTGGTGGCTGGAGGCTGGAGGCTGGTGCAGTGTGGCCGCGACACGTCGAGGGTGTGCCGGCCAGATTTTGGAGCGACGGAGTAAGGTTTGGTACTACCCATGCGAGTTTTAGGTAAAATGCGAGATCTATATTTATTTAAGCCTGCATTTTGGCGGGCAAATATCGCAGATACATTACATATATTTCAGTTCGATTCAAAGACTATTAAAACATTAAAAACAAAGTGTTTGGGACAGTTCGATGCTGGGGCCTTCCACTGAAGTGCTGCATGCCACGTCGTTCGGCATCTGCCTGCCTGCTGGTTGATAGTCTGGTGTGCTACCCTGCTACCCTGTGTTTCAGAAGTCTGTAGATGGCTTGTGTGGGGTTGGCGGAGTGTAAGTGTAAGTGTCGGCTTTGGGAAGCTATTTGGCTGGCTGCTCTACATTTGTGGATGGTAGCCGTACATTGCGCACAGCTCTTCCTTGGTGATCGTCCGCTCCATCAGATCGGGGTCCAGGTTAAAGTAGCGCGGCAGGATCTTCCAGTGGAACTGGTTGAAGTAGTTGTACTCGCCGGACTCCTGGAAGCCGACGTAGGCGTAGTTGGGATTGTCGGCCTGTCGCCGGATCCAGAGGCACTCCTTTATGTGGAAGCGCCAGTTGCGGTCGGCCAGCTCGGCGGCGGCCAGCATCTGCATCATGTCGCCGGGGCAGTTGTAGAAGAAGTAAAACAGCAGCTCGGCCTCCATCTGGTGCATTTTGGGCTGCGGCATGCCCAGTCGGTTGGCCATCCCCTGGTCGATGGACACATTGTTGTTGTAGTCAAGGGGGCCCCAGCGAAGGCCCTGGAATGGTCCGGCAAAGGATGGAAGAAGGTTTCGGGAGCTGGCGGCCATCTGCGTGCTGATAAGATTGTTTTCCGCATGGACTATCTGCATAAGATCGGGAGTCTCCTGGTCTACTCCCAGCCTGTGCGCCAGTCCTAGCAGGCCGAATTCTCCTTCATCAACGGGTCCAGGATTAGGATTAGGATTAGGATTTTGCCTGGTAGGCTCGCATCCAAAGAGTACGCAGCTCACGGGCATTCCCGTGAAATGTGTCATGACGGAGGCACCGATGCTGGCTCCGTCGGATCCAGGGCGGTGCGTGTTTGAACGTGGGACGTTTGGGGGACTGGGAACTGGAACGGGCTTCCTAGAGGAGGCCCTCATTGAGCGCTGTCGCACACCCTCTTGGATGAACTGCTTTGAGAATATGAGGCTGACTTCGCAGAGCAGTTCCGCGGCTGTGTGTTCCTGACGACAGCAGGCGGCCTCGGGGATGTACTCGGCATTCTGGCCGTTGACATCGAACGAGGAAATGGAGGTGGAGTCGTTCTCCGTGAAGCCAGACTGGGTTGACGGCTCGTCGTAGTCGTACACATTCTCATCATCGGGATAGCTGTACAAGGACGATTCCTCTGGTGCAGAGAGGCTGTACTGGGAAATCGGCTCATCGGCCACCAAATCGTCCTCGGTGGTGGCTGGGGGGGACGAAGAAATGACCTCGTCGTCGTCGTCGTCGTCGTCATCGTCGTCGTCGTCACTGATCATGCTCGTCCAGTCGTCGGGCACCGAGGCCACCGAAGGGGACCTGGTCCCGCCCGGTAGGGCCGGGAAATCCTCTCGGAATATGCTGAACTCGAGTGGCGCCACTGGGGGTGGTGGCACCGCTTTTGCAGGCTTCTCCTTGGCCATGTTCTTCACCACATCCACGTAGAGGATAGGACCCTTCGGAATCATTTGGGGGGGCACCGACAGCAGGCTCGTCGTCTTCCTTCCCACATTGGCGGCGGCCGCTGCTGCAGCTATGGCCTTGGCATTGTGACGCTTCATCCTTGGCGGTGCGTTGCGTTGCGTTGCGGTGTGTTGCGGTGCTTTGCGGAGCGGTGAACAGAATTATTTCCGATTTCCAAATAACTGAGAAATTTCGATTCCGAACAACAAAAATCAGATGTTTTGTCGGAAAGAAGAAGCAAAAGTCCCAACTGACAGCACTAGCAAGAGCCACTTTCCAACACTGACACGAAAAAAGTAGCTTGTTTTCTGATTTGCCATCCCTAGGCAGTGGCAAATGCAAAATTGCTGAAATTGCTTTGGAATTGTTGATAATAAATGAAAATGTGTGCTGTTGCTGTTGCTTTTGGAGTTGGAGACCTGTCTGTCGCTGTGTGGGTGCTGAGGAAATTGCCATAAACCAATTTAAAAGCCAGGGCCATAAATTTGCCAGACGCAATCCCAATAGCATACCCCAACCGAATCCACCTGCAGCTGGAGTGCAGTGCCATCTGCAAGTGTAAAAACAGGTCAGCGAGTCAGCGAGTCGGGGAGTATAAGCCATTAACTTAAAATGACACCAGAGTAACATAAATCTCCTCTTTTGCTAGTTGCCTGCTGCACTTAGAGGCAAATGTCTGGAAATTGACAAAAGAAACGCCGCAGCGCAGTGGCCAGAGGTGGCCAGAGGTGTCGTGGCGTCGTGGAGTGGCATCAGAGAGCTGGAGCTGGGCTGGGCTCTTCTGCGGAGGTGTCGGGAGGGCGTTGGCTTTGTGCGCTAATAGCCCAAGAGCCTGGACCAGGGCCAGCCCACCACGTCCCGAGGTTGAGTCATTTGCCTGCGCTGGCGAAATTTATGCGAGCGTCAAATTAACGAACTTGTCCGGGATGGGAGCCTGCCCCGAGCCGAGCACCGCTCTATGACAGTCACAACACTCGGAAAATCAGGTGCATGCCCCCTACCTCTGGGGAAGCAAATTAAGCACAAACAATATGAAAATACAATAATGTAAAATCCCAGCCGCTGGCCAAGAAAAATGATACACATAAAGAAGCAGAGTCCAAGTCCGCGACTGTGCGGCTAACGAACGGACAACGGCCAAACGGGAATCCAAGTCATCACGAACTGAAGGCAGAAGCTGCTGCAGCTTCGGCATCGGCATCGACTTCGGCCACATAGCCCACAATAAATCATACTCATGTTGCCACAGACGGAGACGGAGACAGAGACAGAGCCAACTGCAGTCCCTGGGACCCGCGATCGGGCAATTGCTGAGCCGTTAAATTTCCATTGCCATTGCCAGTCCAAGGTCTAGGCCAAGAAGCATGAGACCAATAGGTGTTAACCAGAGCTGCTTACGCGGGGATCTTTAATTGGATGTCAGATATTTCTGTATTATGGAACACATCTTCGGAGGACATCGTTGGAGGCTCCCGCGTGCACTGGCCGTGTCACGAGGCCATCTCCAGCGCCCAACTTCCGTCCCCACTCTTTGGGTGTTTGCAGAGGAATCGCATCGGGACCTGTTCGTCTCCGTCAAGGCGTACATTATGGAAATTAGTATCGGCTTAAGTGACGCCCCGTCCGCCAGAGGACTCGGGTCGACTGCGCTCCATTGGGTGCGTGTTGCCATCTCTCCTAATGACCGTCGGGAGCGGCACTTGTCCCACCGTCTAAGACGGCACTGGCAGTCCCACAGTCGGATGAGTTTACGATCTCATTGGAACTGGTGGCTGCTGGCTGCTTGCTGGTGTTGCCAAGCGGGCCATTAGCCGAAGCGTTCGGCGTAATGGCCACATGTTTATGGGGTTCTTTGTAGCTTTAAAAATTATGCACAATAAGGCGTAGATCACTCTTGGGATTTTGCCAGCTTTGTGGGCGTTCGCCGAGTCAAGGTTACATCGGTATGCGTTTTTTTTCCTCTTTTCTTTTACGAGCCTCCACTTACAAAGCCAAGTTTGTAAGCCCTCCAAGTAAATTACTTATACAAAGGCGTACAGTGGACATCTCTCAAGTTGAATGGACACAAAGAAAGTTCTTTGGTGGAGTGGCAGAATGCAGATCCATGCAGATTAGGCACTGCTCCAGGTATGTCCTGCAATGGCCTCAAATGCGTTCCACGGGCATCTTCCTGGTGGCCAAAATCGGGCCTTGGAGAGCATCTGCAAGTCTCAGATAAGCATAGTATTAGTTGTTGGTCTTATTTATTGACTAATTAGCCAGAATATAAGAGTATCTGTCTGTTTTCTAAGAGCTATGAGATAGCACATACCATATATACCTGATCGATCGGGATTTCTCCCCCACATTACAACAATTGGCATTTGCAATCAGAGCAGCAGCGGCAGCCCCAGAGAGTCACGCACTGCCGGCAAGTGAATGGCAGCCGCGACAGGTAGCCCCCCTTTGGGCCAACTGTGAGCCAACGTAGGTGGCACTCTGGACACATTTGAAACCTGTGGCCGGTGGCACATGGCACATGGCACACGGCGCTGCGGCAGGGGAGGGAGAGAGCTGCAGCCACTAACTGGCCAAGTGTCAAACTTGCCAAATTGAAAACGAAGTTACGATGCAATCGCCGATTGGTTTATGCTGCCGTTTTGACCGCACTGCAATTATATTTATTTTGTATTTCTTTACTTTTATTTTGCCGTTGCTTACTTTTGTATTTTGTATTTTTGTTGTTGTTTGTGGAGCGCCTTTTGGTGGCTTAAATTTAATGAAATATTACGCGCACGTGTCAACGGAGCGATAAAATTTATTTACGCAGCATTGCGGGTCAAGTGAAAGCACATTTTTCTGTGCACAGACCTTCAAATTGAATTTACTCTGGGATTGCGATCGGTACTCCTCCCGTACGGACCTCGAATCGAAACCGAAATCGAAACTTAAACCTGACTTTCGGGGGCCAGCATAAAAATGGGCGTAGGGCAGCCGCATTGACATGCGGCCATATTTTAAATGTCAACAGGAACGAAACGGACCGGAGATCCCATCGAAGCCCAACGTCCCGCCATTCCGCCATCCCGCCAGGCCACAAGCCAAGGATGGAGCCCCGGACAAATCCGCCTTGTCCAAGCCCATCAGAAATTCAATAAAATACCATTAAATTACAAAATGAAGACAATTCATTTTTCTTGTTTTCATTCGCTGCGTTTTGTATTGTTTTCTGTGTCCGATGCGATTGCATTTTGTTTCTTACAGCAGGAGCATTTAATGTCGCTTTGCGGGCATAAGCCATAAAATATCAAAAATTATTATTGATTATAAATGTTGAAAGCGACATTTATCGTAATATTTTATGGAATCGGTGAACGCGTAGACCCCGAGAGGGGCCCAACTTGATGCCTTGATGTACTAGCCAGGCTCGAAACGTAGACAAGGTCAACGGTTATGGAGAGGCCTGTAAGAGTGAGATATTTAGAACAATATCCAAATCCAAGACTCTGTTAAATTCTGCAACAGCCCTTCATGATTATAGTTTTCTCATCCTCAGTTTACAGCGCATTCCAAGACCCATACCCATACCCTTCGAGCGGGTCATAACTTCTGCCATAATCGAGTCTCGGGCAGAGGCACAGGATGCGAAAGGAACGGAGATCGAGATGGAGAGTAATGGCCAAGGGTTGGCCCAGGGCAACGCCCATAATATACTACCGAATCGAATACGACACAATTTTTTCCCAATTCGCCTTCAACTTTGCACTGCCAAAAATACGAACGTGCACGAGGTACGGGAAATAAAACCAAAATAAATCCAACCGCAGACCAGAGCGCACTTTCAATTAATCAACGAAATTAATTAAGGCCTGCGATGGCGATGGCGATGGCGACGGCGACGCCGATGGAGCACTGGTTCAGTGACCAGCCAGCGGACACCACTCTCCTCAGTCATTGCAACATAATTTTCATTTGGGCCCAGCATGCGTTTTCATCGTGGCGGTTATCATCTGGACACTTGGACACTGAATATCCCAGTGCATATTGAGACTGGGACTGCGGTGCAGTCAATTAGCACGCATGTAACTCGCCGGGCTATGCCGGACTATGCCATGCCTATACTGGGGCGATAATGAAACGGCAGTCAGTGGTCGAATCTGGTGACAATTGCACACGATTTATGCCGGGCCACGTGGAGGAGATTGCGCAACAGTTTTGGCCCATAAATCTGCGTTTAATCGCACCACAAAATGCTACACGCTGCGATTAGGCCTGGCCGGCGCTGTTGCTGTTTAATGGGTAACCAGGACATGCTCTAGTCCTGATCCACTTGCTGGTAGTAGCTCAACACAATCAGTACGTCAAAGAAGGTGGCTGTGGGCGAGAGGAGATAGAGTGACAGTGACAGTGACAGTGACAGTGAGAAGCATCAATGACTTACTTCCAATGGAGAAAAAGGATCTGGCCATCGTAAGGGGGTGGGACATCTCTACGGATGCCAGGATCAGGTGGCAAATCATTTCCACAATCAGAGCAATAAGCTTCGCCACGATGTGCAGAGGCAGAATGCTGCTATTATCCTATAAAAATCATTTAGTAACGATACCACTCAGTGGGCCTCTCTTACCCGGTAAATACCGCAGAGAAGCAACACACATGAGGACAAATTGATGAAGTCCGCACAGATACCGAGTGTCAGGATGTCGTTGCAGATGTGTGCATTGAAATGTGCTACCCATAACAGATTGAATAGGGGTTGTACCAGCATCGTATATCCCATGGCCAGGCACATGCCTCGCAGGGGCACGCAAGAGCATAAGTTCTCTAAAAATGTCATCTTGAATGGAGTTGTATTTTTGATTGTTAAATATTTGACATCTATTCAAACGGCAATGCCTGTGAGGGCAGAGAGAATTATCAAGCGTATCGAAGTTCGTGTTGGATTTTCATCAATCTGTTTTCTCTCTAAAGACAACCTGGCATCGGCCTCTGAGAGATACAACATTTTTCAATATATATTTACTATAAGCCTTTGCCTTTGTTCCAGTTGAACAATTTGTAGCTCCGATGTGTTCCAAGGGACAGAAATTTGGTTCAAATCAACGGCTCATACCGCTGACAGCGGAACTGATCCAAGATATGCTGGATCACGAGGACATGGAATATCAAACACCACCAGGCGGGAGACACGGCTCAATCGGGGAAAACCTAGGCATTCCTGCAGGAGGGATAGAGACGGTGGTTAATTTAGATCAGCTATCGTTTGTGAAGTTCCGGACAGTTTCCGGTGGAGAGTCTTTGGACCCAGTGATGGCTGGCGATTATCCGTAGCCGTCTTCCAGTCCTGTCTAGAGTGGGAAAGCCACTCTGCAGGACCAGAACAACAATACAAATCCAACCAAGGTCAATAGCTACATACATATATACACATGTGCGCCACGATTCCCTGGAGGGTTTCCATAGAGCAGAATGCGGACTCAGTTCTCTCTTCGATAATGGGCGTGCGTCAGTGAAAGTTGAAAATGTCTTGGCATTTGATGTACAAACTTGTGGGTTAAATAAAAACCAAAACCCCTGCATGAGGAACTGCTTGTCATGTCTGGCTTCTAGCTTGAAAATATTGTCGGGGGGCTGGCTGCTAAAACAAAAGCCGTGTTTCCATCATCGGACTTTTCCCGAAGCTATTAATCGAGGCCGGCTTGTCTGGGCCGTTGTCATGTGTGAGCTTTCTTTTTTGGCATCTTTTGGTAAGATAAGGGCCAACTGGTTTCGGGGAAGGCGATTGCAGCTCACTGGACATCCATCCATCCATCTGTCTAGTCTCGGTTCTCTGTGGCTTGTTCTACAATACCATGACAGCCTTTAAGCATGCAATATGTGCCTGACTCTGGGCATACTACCGACTGCTTCCATTATATCACTCAGAAAATAAATCTCTCATTAGAATATATACCCAATTGTCTGTCGGAAGAGTCCAATAGGCCGCATTTTACCAGGAGAGAGAGCTCCATCTTCTGTGAGTACCCTGCATCATATTTATTCTCTACATTTTGAAACAGCCGACATATCGAATCTTAAACGAATCGTATGGCGGAAAATTTTGTTTGTTTCGAAAGAAAGAAGCTTTTCGTTGAAGTTTCTGCCATCGAAATGGGACAGTTGGGATGGTTTTTCCATATGTTTGGGTAGACCTTAAGGTATTAGTGGTATTCCCAAGACTACTCCAATCCCCAGGTACAATCATGACAACTTTTACCGACGAGTATTTGACGAAAATTTCACTGACATTGCATGTCGATCGGAGAGACCCTGCTCCTGCTTCCCCTTCTCCCCCACTGCACTTGCCAATTTGGGCTCAAAGGAAAATGATTTTTATTGCGGCTAGGCCCCGGCATGGAAAGCCCCTCATCCGACTCGGTCTGGACCCGCCAGGCAGTCACTTCGTCATGTCGTGGCCCGCCAGTAACCGCTGGCAGTATGCATTTTGGCCAAATATTAGCACACAATTTCGATTTTGCATGCCATCGCGGAATCGCTGGATTGCTGCTGGGGGGAAGTGCTCGCTTTTTACGAGTGCAAGTGGCGACTTTTCCACGACACTCGGTCCGCCCCGGTCTCCCCCGCCAGTGGACCTGCCAGCTGCACGCTTTCACCTGTTGGCCTGAGTTATGTAAAAACCTACTGTCAAATTAATGGTGATTTATATATGGGGTTTAATGGGCACTTCGCATGGGATGCGGGCTGGTCATCGCAGGGGAATGGAATGGATCATGGTCTATGGTCCATGGCAGATCCGCAGAGTGTTGGGAGAATGTATGGGCTGGATATTTCAACTAGATTAGCCTTAAAATACTTCAAGTTTATTACGATTGGGAGCGGGTGAGGGAATTCTTTAGATATCGAGAAAGCCAGGCGTTAAAAGATGATTTAGGGTTCATAGACGTTGGAGTTGGAGTGAGTGATCTCCGTCTGATCGGTTCACATGTACTGGCCGATCTTGGACATGATTATGCAAGGTCGAAACAGAATCCAACAAGTTGTCCAGCCCCATCGGACGACCGTTTAGTGGGACATCTGCGGAATGTTAAGCCCATGCACTTAAAGATAATCCAAGTCAAACAAAATGCCTACAAGTGGTTGGAGACTGGAGCTTTGGAGGCGAAACTTGTCAAAGACAATTACCTGGACGTCCAGGAGTGACGGCGGATGATGGGTCGCAGAGACGTCGAAGGCGTCGCGACAAAATGCCACCGCGCAGCGCAATCCACAGTCGCGTCTCCCAAGTGGTGACAATAAAAGTGCAGAGCAATTTGCGAATGCGTCTCTAATTGAGCCTACTGGCTCCGACCTGCAGTGGGGGCGGGGGGGAACGGGACGTGGCATACACCGCGAGAAATGGGAAGTTGCACGCTAATTTGTGCGGGTATTAGCCGCGGCTTTGGGGGCTTGGAGGCCTGGAGGCCTGGAGAAAGGTGTTTGTGTCAAGGCTGTGATTTAGTCAAAGTTCCTCGGCCCTGCCCCGCCCTGCCCTCCCGCCTGACAATCCGCTCTGCTGCGAAATTATTTCTTTAATTTTGTGCACACATGACACATGTGGCAGCGGCAGGAAGGAGAGCTCTCCAGTGCGATTGGAATTTCATTTCATTTAGAAAGTTGCACTTGGTGGAAGTCGATTTGCATTCGCCAGCTCTGAACGACATTCGGCTGGGCTGGGTTGGGGGGAGGGGAAGGGGGCTGGCTCTGGGTCTGTGCACAGCCACGTTTATCTGTGGAGCTCCAGATGGAGCCCAGACGGGCGACATTCTTCGAGAAGAGCTCGACATTGGATCGGGGCTGCCTTCACTTTTCTTGGGCCAAACAAAAAGCCGTTTAGGCACAACTAGGTCATTTAATAAAAATCAAATCGTAATCATAATGGAAGAGACACGGGCTGGGGGCACCTCACGATTTCATATTCTAATTCTGTCAATCATCTCCAGCCAAGCTCCAACTGCAACCGTTTGGGTTGCCCTCCCCCTCCCTGGTGCTCTCTGGTGCTCCATTTGATCTTGATTTCTACTTTGATTTTGATTTTGATCTTTAACTTGTCTTGACGCACATTTGATTTTTGCCACGGCACACCCTCTGCCGCCCTTGCCTTTCTTTCCAGTGAAATGCTTTCTACTCCGCCTCGACTGTCTTTGTCTGGGAAGAAACGTTTGGCTTTAATGGCTTTTGATTGATTATCGCGTGCCATGGCTGCTCGGTGATCTGTGGGTGCTCTTCAGGGCTGAAGCTCTGAGCTCCAGGTGGTGTCGCTGGGCCCACGATCGGGCCCCCCCTCTCTCTGGCTGGGGCTGGCTTTCGTTCGAAGTCTGCTTAATTAGCTCGATACTCGTACACATGTGTGTCTGCTCCGCCCGCCTTGTTGACTCTGTGCACGTGCTGTGCTCCGAGGTGCTCCGAGGTGCTCTGATGGGCTGCCAGTTCCTGGTACAAGCACCCGAGGAGGTATGAGTGGGCATATCAAATCGATTGTGAAGTTCAGAGTTGAAATTTGTTGTACAAGATGGAGCAGAGGGTAGCCTACGTGACTGCTCGCCAGATGACGATTAGATTGGAGGAAGTTGTTGTTGCTGTTGTTGTTGCTGTTGCTGTGCATCATGTTCATAAAAGTTACCAATTCCATTTCCCCAGTGGATCTCCAGTAGATTTCGTATCTGCCAAGGAGCTGCTGCTCCTGCTTGTTGCAGTCGGAGTCCATGTCTAACCTGAATTAATTTTCCATTAGGATCATAGATAATCTCCCTCCTATAAACTTTCCACTCATTATGAATGTATGTTGACAATTTTGGCCCGGAGTTCATCGGTGGATCGGTGGATGCAGCCATCCTGGGCTTCCCATCTCCCATCACAATAATGGCCCTAAGTGAAATCAAATGCCGTAAAAGTAGGCGCATATGCTGTCAAAATCTTATTCAACAAAGTGCCAGTGGGGGCCCGAACCGCCAACTGGCTACATATGTCAACACCATGAACTTGAAACCCATGTACTTGACTGGAGCTGGAGCTCAGGCTGGAGCTTAGGCTGGCGGAGGCGACTCCTAAAAGCATTTTGTATTCTAATTAGATTGTCAGCGGCACGACAACAACCAACCTCATTTTGCCTCACAAAATGCCTTTCCACATTTGCATTAGCGCCAACGTGAAGAGAGAAGACAAAAATCTGCATAAACTTTGGCCAGTTGGCAGTTTGGCAGTTGGCCAGGAGTGCACTGAGAGGAACAGGGCAGAACTTCCAGAGCCAAGAGAAGAAGAGCTAGCAAGGGCTCGCAGTTCTTCATTCTGTCTCTGGCTTTGATGAATTCCGAGTGGCTGCAGCACCTGGTATATGCATAGAGAATTCTCTCAGTGCATTGGAGTAGGAGTGTGCAGTTTGAAGTTCATTAACATGCACAGGTTAATTACCGTTGTTGTTGCCAGCTCAAGGAAATGAGCCATTAGAGGAGAGGAGCCCAGGCCATGCCAGGCCAGAGCAGGCCAGGCCAGAGCGGCAGGCCAGGACCGGAGACTCAGGAGCGCCGCAGTAGCCGAAAGCCGGCGATAAACCTGGCTAAAAGCATACATAAAAAGACACATGTTAAGTGTGCACGGATGATCGCAGCGTGTGTGTGTGTGTGTGTGTGTGTGTTTGTGGGAGGAGGGAGGACTGTGACAAATGCCCCAACCAGAGGCTGTCGCTGCTCCTGCCTGGCCAACATGCAAAATGTTGCACTGATAAGGGACACAAAGCCAAAGCCAAAGAGTCATCCCGTTTGCCCACAGTTTGCGGTACAGCGGTAAATGAGCATCCCGGGCACGATCATTAAAACAAAAGCGGCAGCCGAGGAGCCATCACTGACAAGCCATGACCAAGAGCAATGGCCAACAAAAAAAACAAAAAACTTACCGCAGTGGCAGTGGCAGTGGAGCCAACAGCCAACAGCTACCAGCTACCAGGTTGCTGCTGCCTCCTGGTGTTGGATTGCCTTAAACGATCCGCGTGAATAACTAATTTCAATGGAGTCTGCCTCTGGCTCTGCCACAGCCACTGCCTTAGAGGCGCACACTCGCGACTCAACATTTATCACCCACCATCGGCGAAGGAGCTCCGGCCAAAGCCAAGGGGGAGCTGAGCCTCTGCAGGAGCCCTAATCCCCGAAGACAATGGGACAGTTCATTTATTTTTTGTTGCTCTCCGTTTCCATGTTTTTGCCGTCCAGACAATAAAAACTTGCTTCAGGACTGCGACTGCGTAGGACAAGCCGAACGGAACGCATCGAACGGAGCACTAGAAACACTTAATGAGCGGCCTGGCAGCCCGGCAGCCGGCAGCCTAGAAAAAGAAGCCCCAGAAGGCGGTCAAGATGGGTTTCCTGAAAACTGTGATTGCCAGAGATTTAGGTGAGGAGCAAGTGAGCATCTGTGCATTCTGCTCTGCCACAAACGTAAGGGTAGAGTCACCCGTTCAGGGTGTTTGCTGATCACTGATCAGTGATCACTCCTCCAGTTCTAAGCTATTATTCAGTTAAATATCTCAATGCTTTTATCAAATTCGTACATATCTTATCTTATCTGATCGTTGGCCGGGTGAAGTAGATCGTGCTCTGTTTGTCCGCTGTCAGGGCCACCAGTATGTTCTCCACTTCGCACTGGGAACTGTAGAGATAGGCCTCGCTGAACGACGTTGCGGCCTGTCCTCTGGCGGTGTACTGCCTGGGAGCCTGGTTGACTGTGACCAGCTCGAAGGCTCTCTGGCAGGACTCCTTGTCCCGGTAGTTCTCGTTGTAGTAGGCAAAGGGTATCAGATTCGACTGCTTCCCAGGCCAAGTGATGTTGCCGATCAGCTGGCGCGGCACTTGAGGGTTTGTCGCCCCGCCAAGGTCTTCCTGGGGCTCGGAGATGTAGCCTCGAATGCTAGGGCCATCGATTTCCACGTCCAGATAGTATATGGCGTTGCTGATGAGATCGAAGTCGTAGTCGAAGCACTTGTAACCTATGCCCTCTCCCCCGAAGGTGGAACAGTCGAAGTTCTGCCCCGGCTCGGCGCCAGTGGCATCCCAGACGGAGAAGAGTACCGTGTACTTGGAGCTCCTGTCGTAGTTCTGCAGTCCGATGTAGCCGCCGGCCTGGTCGGAGAAGAATTGCAGGAAGTTGTAGATGCCGTCGTTGCGTTTGTCCTCGCCAGCCATCCACTGGAAGATGCCCCGGATGCCGCTGAACCCATAGTCCTGGTAGTTGATCAGGGCCTTCGAGTTGCCTAGCACGTCGTTGAATCGACTGGAGGGACGAAGGACCCTCATGAACCGGGCCATATCCTCCTGGGCCTCCTCAGGACTGGGATGAGCTCCCAGGGCTCTGGTCAGGCTCACGGCCAGGACAAGCAGGCAAAACAGGTGAAGTTTCGGTGGATTCATGGCAAACTCTGAATGATTTGTGGCAGTCACTCGGCCCCCCAGGCGGAATACGAGTGGGCCTCAAGTGTTTGCCAGATAACTAGACTGCTCCACAGCTGATAGCACAACATACTGGCAGATTCTGATATGCCTTAGCCTTATGTAATTCCTACGGTTGTGGCCTGGAAACAGCCTTCGAATATTGACCTAAAAACACTAGCTGTAGTCATGGTTCAGAGTCGGGCAGCAACTGAGCGGCCGAGGCCTCTGATCATCTGCTCAAGAGCAAAGTAGCAGAGTTCAAGTCATAACTCAGCGCCTCTCCTGGCCTCCTGGCCTCCTGGAGTCCGCCTCCCCCCTCCCTATGGCCGTCAGCATCATCCGCATGAGGCAGTCAGAAAACGTAGCATTAAATCAAGCCCACATGGAGTTTAGTCGGAGACCAGCATCAGTTTTTCAGTTGCAGTTCCCTCGCTTTTTGACAGTTTTGCGCACAGTAGCAGCAAGTTGAAGCCGAAGCCCTAGACCAGGCCAGCAGTAGCAGCAACCATAGTCGTTCTCCTGCTCATCATCATCATCGTTGTCGTCATCGTTGGGGCAAGATAAACGTACAAGCTGGCCGCTGGGGGGACGGGACAAGGCGCAGGGCGAACATGTGTTGGCTGTCGAAGATTTGGAAATCGAGAAAAAGCCTGGTCTGCGGCAGTGGGTCCGCAGGAACTGGCACAACCTTCTGGTGGCTCACATAAATTTCAAATATCCCAGAGAGAGAGAGATATGCTTTCCATATTTGGCAATCCAGGGGGGACTGCCCCCCCATTCGGGTAATGCAGTTTTTACTCATTTTTATTGACCCGCTGTGGGAGAAGGAGGAGGTCTTTAGTTTGATCGGTGCATCGGGGCGTATGAGTAATGCCCGGGCAAAGGCAATCTACACTCCACGGAAGGATTAATTCGTTAACAACATTTTGCCGTTGTAATATCCAAGACAATGCCAATAAATCTATTAATTAAGCCGACATTTGTTTTGCATCTGTTGCGATTTCCTTTTCTCCGCACATTTTGATTAATTCGCACAGCTTAACGGAGCCCCAGAGTATCCAGTATCCAGAGTCCCGGCTCCGGCCTCTGGGTGGATTTGTTGAAATTTAAGACAGTGGGTGGTCCGAAACCGAAAACTGAATGAATCAACAGTGAATGAGTACAGTGAAACAGGGCAGTGAGCGATCGGGGAAAAGACTAGCATTCGAACTGAAAGTGGAGTCATCTGGTGGTCTGTTCCTCGTGGCTCCACTGTACTGGCCATAGAAAACCAATTGCCGGACAAGAAACAACAAACAACAAACAGCAAACAGCAATCTGGCAAAACTTCTGTGGCCGCTCGGTGTCTCGGTGTGTATAAATTTGGCAAATTAAAAAGCGAGAGCCATTGCAGCGGACCCTAAGAGCCCAAGAGCGGGTCGAAGTAGAACGAGTTGGGGGAGTTTTGAGACGCGAAAGCCACCCACCGCAGCCCCAGATGACGCAACAGGGTGCCTGTGCCTGCGCCTGTCGCAGTTGCCTCGTCTATAAATAAACCCACCGCCAGAGTAAATCAAAACCTGGCACGAAAGCCGGCCCAAACATGTGGCGCTTGAAGTGGAGCTGGCTGGCGCTGGAGTCCCAGCCAGGATCAAGTGGACCGCCACTCGGGTGTGGTCGCGCATGTAATATGTGACCAGAATCGTATCGGATTTTGTGGATTTGTCATCCCAATCTGGGGCCATAAATTCGTTACGCATTTTCCAGCTACTGACCGAGCCGAGCCGGGCCGAGCCGGGCCGAGCCGATCCGATCCGATACACAATGCAGCCATAATATTTCTGATCCCTCATTCGGGCCCCATTCAGGCAGCCCCATTCTGGCTTTTGATCTGGCGCGCTCACTGGATGCCTGGCTCCTCCATGGTTCCCTGGACATTGTCAACATCTTATTCCAGCACTGACATGATTGATTTTTCATGTTCCATCTGAAAGGGCAGTCCAGTGGTCCAAGTCGCAGTGTTCCGCGGTTTTTCTGGGGTCAATTGTGACTTTCTAAAAAATATTTTGCTCGACGAAGAGGAGGATAGCCCCGGCCTGCGCTCATCGCAAATGCATTGTGCGAAAAATTCCGAAATATTTTGGTTAAAAGTGTACGAAATGGAGGCAGAGGCAGAGGCAGAGCCAGCGGCAGCGGCAGAGACAGAGGCTTAGATGGCCACAGTTTTAGTCGATTCTTAGAGCAGTTAAAGTGCCTTAAAGTAAAGTAATTGAAATTTATTGTGGTGAAAATGTTGCACAAATGATTTCGTTTGATATGGCCTGGCAACGGGGCAAACATCCAAGAGTGGTGCCGCTGGAGCACCGACGCGTCGGCCTAGTGGAGCAATCAATCGACTATATATGGCCAGAGACTGGGGAAAACACTTAGCGCTTGGCCAAGACAATTTCATTTGGCTTTATAGTTGACCAAAATTAGAAATGTGAGAAAACTGAGGCAGTAGCAGTGGCAGCGGAGGTGCCACCACCAGCAGACGAGAAAGAATTGGGCTGGGAAAAAGTTATTAATATGGGTCGATTCCCCCCCCGGGTTCCCCCCCACCCCAAGTTCCTTCTGCTTCCCCTTCTAGGCTCTCTAATCGCGAGGGTACGCTGCGAGTGAGCTTCGGAGCTGGCTTCCAATTTTGGTAGCTTGATTTGTCACGATGCTCTTTTTCCTCGCTTTTTCTCTGGGCCCAGCATTTCGGTTTTCTTTTTTGTTGGTGCTGGTTTTTTTTTTTTTGCTGCAACTGCAACTGCAACTGGGGAAGACAAACAAATTGGTCTGTAGTTGAAAATTGACAAGAATTTCGTGACTTTGTCACCTCTTTTTTCCCTTTTTTTTTTTTTGGTTTGTGTGCTGTAGTCGAGAGATCTTGCAACGCCCTCGAAGGCAGCCGCCGCTGCAGGACCAGCAGCAGGAGCTGCAGCAGGGGCAACGGCAAAGGCAACAGCAGTGGCAGTGGCAGCGCTTTCTTTCCTCCGCCGGCTCGTTAAGTGGCAGGCAGCGCGTGCGCATTGGAGTCGCTTCACCGGCTTCAAGCCGTGGTCCCCGCCCTGGCCCCTTAAAATCACTTCATCATCGGACATCGGACATCGGGGCATTCTAAAGTCAAAGCGACTGCGACTGCGACTGCAAAACTCTTGTCAGATTTATTTGCGGCTGTTTGAGTCGGTTTCTGCTGCTTTGGCCCATACCCTTTGACGGAGGGACACCGCACTGGTTGATCCCAGGTGCTTCACCCTTTTGATCATCTGGTAACCTGCAGTACGAATATTTGTCGATATAGCATCACATTAAGGTTAATATAATATATAATTAATAATTATAATTTACAAAATGTTTAAATATAAATATTAGATATTCCACTCCATTCATTCATAAGCTAATGTTTTATATGATTTATGGGCTTTTATATGATTTATTTATTTTAAGTATTATTAGTATTGTAGGGGCTTTTATATTATAAATTATATTTAAATACTTAAAATACTTAGAGGCTCAGCCTTGGCCCATCCTTTTCCTTCTCCAATCAGGCTATAGTTCGACAAAAGTCCCTTTTCCATGGTCCTTTCATTTATCATTCTATTTGGTAAGAGCATAGACCCGTCATTGAATGGGTATCTAGGTTTTCCAGTTTATTTCATTTCGGTTCGGTTTGGTTTGTTTCGTTTCGTTGGTTTGTTTGTCCCTTTTTTTGTTCATTTTTCGGTTTGTTGGTTTTTTTGTTTTTTGTGGTGCCTACTCTACCTGTAACCTTTTGCACTTGGTACCCTTTTTTCAATTTAATGAATTTTTTCCGTCGTTTTCTCTTCCTGCACTCACTGACAGCTACAAGAAGCCGGAGACAAAAACAGAAACAGAAACAGCGACAGAGCGAGAGAGAGAGAGAGAGAGAGAGAGGTGCTTGTGGGTGCTTGTCGCCTTTGGAGTTTCAGAGTTTTCCTGCTATCAGTGGAGCATCAGGTGGGTCCAGGTGGGCCCTGGTGGGACCTGGTGGGGCCTGGTGGGGGTGAGGACAGACAGACACATCAAGCACTCTGGCAACGCCCTAAATATCCGCATTCATCGGGAATATGCATTTGTTCTGTCCCTCAGCCGAGACCCATTCAATTGTTATGTTTATGGTCAAGTTTGCAGAATTTTGGCCAGGCACCAAATCGAGCAGAGAAGAGAACCAAATTCACAGTTCGTGTCTGGGTCTGGGCCGGGGTCGGGGTCTGTGCCTGTGCCTGGGTATGGGTATGGGTATGGGTCTGGTGGTTAGCCAGTGACACCACCTCCAACAGGCCGTTGTTGCCGCTTCTTCCTATGTAGGCCAGCATGCCTCTGTCCCTGCCCCTGCCCCTGCCCCGGCCCTGTAGCATTATATGTTGACATTAGAGGGAGCATGGCCATGAGGCGCGACTACGTTTGGGCTTGGGTTTGGGTACCCATCGCCATCGACATCGACGCCCTGGACTGACCTCGTTGTACTTTGTATTCAGGCTCTGGCTGTCTGGCCGGCCATTGTTGCTGGCCAATTTGCTGCATTGCCAATTTCATTGCGCCGAGTGTGCCATTTACCCGCAGAGATCATGTCGAGGCCAAAGGCAAAACGGCAAAACAGCAAAATGGGTGAAAATCCAGAAAATACTTGTAAAAGCCGACAAAAAGTCTATGTTTGTCCAAAAATATGATCGAATTGGGTCGCATGATGCAATCTGAATGGTGGCCACTGTTGCACAGTTGCACAGTTGCAAATGTGGCACACTAGAAGATACAATAGCGTACTACTCGAACAGGTAGGAGCTGCCAAGCTTAAAGAACGATACAACAGACATTTAAGGAACATATTAGAGCCCTGCATGAGTGCACAGTATTGTGGTTCCGATCGCAAAAGGAAGAGCCAGACAGAAAGTCAGATGAGACTTGGCTCTTTGGACTCAGATCTTCAACATTTTCCAGAATATGGACACTTT